ATAGAATAAACAGAGTAAAACATTGAAGCCTTGCTCTACAAAAATTAACAGTAAAAAATCCAGTGAAATATTATTCATTTTCTTAAGAGCTTCTGTATTTTTTGAGTGATGAAGCTAGGAAACCTCATGGAAAATAGCACACATACCCCAGGCCGACGTTCAAAATATGCCAATCTTGATTTTGTTAAGACGAAGAATCGAACTTTAAAGTTGGAAGGGGAGGTTCTTCTTTTTTGCTGAGATTTTTTTATCAGTTCTTCTTCCAGAAGAACACAGTTATTCATTGCCAGAAAATAATGATCCAAATTCCAGGATGAAAAGGGATCTGCTCTTAATACTCCACACATGAGACCAGGAAAATGAAATTAGACACAAAGAGTGAACAGTCTCAAACATGGATGCAAAAAACAATGTAGGTGCTTTATCTTTCCATCTGTCATCCAGGCAGTACTGTTCTATAGCTTCCTTTCTGATATAAAACCCACAACCACATCCTTTCAAACACACTGCGCAATGCATTGTAATTTATGTTACACATGTAATTGAAAAGTAACTCAAAAGCTTGAATGACAACTGCTCTTTATCTGAAAAATAAATGCTTTGGTGAAAACACTTGGAGCCATATTTTGCATATGAAATAAATCCCTAAAATTATATATTTACTTTTGTTTTGTCTTACTATTCAACTTTAGGAAGGATTAAAATTATTTTTTTTAATCCTTGACATTTTATTAACTGGATTCCAAAATTCAACTGCAGTTCAGATTTTTAATTACCGTAGTTATTGATATATTTGGGTGCTATTCATTTCAGAAAGTCTTGAGTATGCTTAATTTATGTTGATATTTCTTCATAACATCTATTGCAAAAAATGTATGCACACATATTTTATAGAGAAATAGACATCTTAGAATTTAAGCACTTATTTCCCAAATGTAAGCAAAACCACCAAAATAGATTAACCATTAATTGATCAAAACAGAGAATCAAATAATTGAATGAAATCATTTGACACAGATCATATTTTTTTGACTGATTATAAGTGGATAAAACTATAACTGCCTACATTTTTAGGATGTTTGGATGTTTTTCCTATCTATAAGCCCATTTCCTTGTTCATTATCTTTTCAATTTACTCGGTGCTCATTTAGTTTTCTGTTTTGTTCAGTGATTCAAGCAAGAGTATTACAATGGTGTCTGTGCTCAGTTTCAGTAGTTTGTGGGCTGCAACGATTTTCTAATAGTTGTTTCATTGTTTTGGTTTAAAGATTAAGCAAAGCATGTAAGGTATGTGGAAGAATGTGGATTATCCCAATTGCTTGACTGGCTGATTAAATCAGCTAGCATGCGACTGATACCATACAGGAGTCAATTATTTCCTAGCAGGAGGAAGATAATAATAAGCTTTCTACCAAAGAACCCTCATCGACATGATTATGTTGGCAAAGGTTGAAATGAGGTGTCAGTGTGTTGATAGCATCCAGTTCAATTGCTCCTTACCATCCATCTTCAACAAAGAGTCTTTGCTAAAGTTCAGTATGTAATGAGGTAGATGAGAGAGAATGGTTGAATGTAAAATAATTTATAAGAGAAGGTTTATAGTCTGGAAGTGATCCTTTGACATCTGTCACTGGATTATTAGTTGGAAGTTATGGCAAGAAGTGCCCTTACACAATTATGTCTAGGCAACCATCACAGTTATTTTCTCCAATATTTAGAGAAAGGGCTTCCATGCTGCGTTCAGGGCATACTTGCTATGAGCTCTCTGTGGAAGCTACATCTGCTATTGCACATTAGCCAAGCTTATGCTATTACTTTTCATTGATTATCTGTTTATATGAAACTCATAACTCCTGATACTATGCTCCTCAGCTATTTCTATTTCCGCTATAGTCTATCATTGCCTGCTTATATGGCATATATTAAGTACTCCTAACTATGAAGAATGTGCAAAAATTGTGATATAGGCTTTCTCACTTGATTTGCATTCGAAGATTGAATTTTTGAAAATATTATTTGTATTAAAATGGGCATAGATTATACACAAGATTTGCTATTGAAAAAAATTGTTTTCACTCCAGGCATTCACTCAAGAATGAAATGTTAATTTGATTCAAAAGAGACATTTGGAACAGGCTGTTGATTCCTGTACATTGTTTTTGAAACCTAAATCATCATCCAAAGCTGCTACTTGCCTTCCTCAAAGCATAAGGCTGTTCTTTTTAAAAGTATAGCAAAACATAACTCTTTTAATCCTGAAGTGTATTTAGTGCTTTCTACAGATCATTGTATTTCATAAAACTAAGCAAAAAAGATAGTTCCTCTCAAGCCATGATTACTGCTGCTCTCTGCTGCCTAAGTGTGGCATAACATGAAGGCAAACACATGTAATAAAGTGGACCACAGAATAATACATATTTTTGTTGTTTTTATTTGATCCATTAACAATGTGTTTTACATATGAAATTTATGTGGCAGTAGAAATTCATTTGAAAAACATTAGAGGTACAGTGGACAATATGTATTCCATGAAATCGATTATAACCTTTATGCTGAGTTACAAATAAAAAAATATCTTCTTTTCATTGTATTTATTTAATAAACTTATATTGTTGCCTATCTCACATATGTGACCCTGGGAAGCAAACAAAGTTAAAAAACACAAGCATACAACAAAATAGCTAATAAGAAAAACAAAACTATCAATGGGTGAGAATGCATTCAATTTCCCTAGTAATATAACCATTTTACAGTGGTTCCTGGATCCCTAGGCAAAATGGCAAGGCCATGTTGTCAGACTATTTTGGAAAGCCAAGAAGGTAGGAGCCAATCTGACTTAATGATGTGGAATATGGTAAAATGTAATGAAATATTCCATGTACAAATTGGTTATTCAATTTTAACTCTGGTGAATAAACAAAATCACCCACTGCACTTTCCAGCATAAGGCTACCTTAATTAATAAATTCAGCTTTACTCCCTGAACAATTTGTGCTTATTATTCTCCTCTAGAATCTTCTGACAATAATCTACAGACAAAATTGGATTGATAATCTGATTAATTACGATCTATTTTTGGCAACTCCAGCTTTGTGCAACTGGTGTTTCAGGAAAGCATATCTTCAGATGACTATTTTAGCGCGCACGTGCGCACACACACACACACGATTCAAATTATTTAAATAGTTTTCCAGACAATAGTGTCTGAACACTAGGTACTTCAACTTCTAGTAACAGATTGCGGATGAGGCAAATCAGTTCCACAATCCTTATACATTCATGAACAATCCTGGATTTACAAGTTTTGAAAACCACTCTCACCTTATTTCTTATAATCAATTTGCAATTCACAATAGAATCAAAATAGTTTAGATTCCCTGCCTCCTACCTGCAAAAAAGTTGAAATTCAATGGAAAAAAAAGGAAGGTTCTACATTTAGGCAAGAAAATGCACAGGTACAGTATAGGTCAGGGGCCTATACGTGGCCGGACGCACCACGAGGAAACCCACACTATTGCCGGCAATGGGGAAAAAGTTCCAATACATCGCGCAACGTCAGGTGACGTCGCAAGTTTGACATGTCTGGTATAGGTGGTACCTTGCTCAATAGCAGTAACTGTGAGAAGGATCTCGAAGTCCTGGTGGACAATCACTTAAATATGAGCCAGCAGTGTGCTGCAGCTGCCAAAAAAGCCAACTCAGGGACAGAATCAAGATCACGTAAAGTGNTCTAATCACAGCTACAATAAAATCCTAGATATTTTCACGGCTCCTCTAAACCACAATAACATTTCAGGAAATATATACCACCCGAAAACAAACTTCTCCAATCACTAAATGTCTATGGAAAGTCTCAGTCATCCAGATCATGATTGTCCCAAAGATGCTTTTTCACAAGACTCTGACTGGATGGTGGGGAATGGAAGGACTTATACTCCTTGCAGACAGCTGGTCATTTGCATTGTTTTAGAGAGGTCACTTGTCCTCAGGGTACCTGAGTAGTGCAAGTGGGTGTGGAGCCTTCTTGGAACTGCTGAAAGGACTGTGTTATGGAGTTGTGTTTTCTGTAGGATGTTTTCTGCCCTGTCTACCTTCACTGTTGAACACAGGCACAGGCTGTTGGGGATGAGCCTGTATTCTATCTCAAACTGAAGCACAAATGGTTCCTGTTAATGTAGTAAATTGAACAATTATTAGAATAATGATGTGTCTGCGTAATTGCTAGAACAATGATGTAATGCATAATCACTGGGAAAATTCACTGGGAAAGTTCTGTGTCAGTAATATGTGGCGACCAAATGCGCTTTGCACATGAATACTTTGTATGTAGCAAAACCTTCCATTGTATGCCTGTGAGAAACGCTCCTAATGTATCACAGTGTATTACCATGTGTAGCCCTTTGTTCTTTAAGGAGGGTAGTATAAAAACTGAAGTCTAATCCCGCCCTCCTCGTTCAGAATTGCCTATCTCTAATATGCTCTGAACCTTGCGCAAATAAACTTCTCTGCTAAACCCCTCTGGAATTCGTAAGAGTTCTTTCGTTTTCCACAAGACTGTAGTCTTTCTTTCCTTCCATTTCCCCACCATCCAGTCAGAGCTGAAGAAGCTTCATGGATGAGAAGAGAAACGTCTTCAAAGAAAAACAAGAAAGTTCAGTTGCCTCCTGAAAAAAGCATCTTTGGGACACCCATCTGCTTCTTAAAGGCCTTTTCCCAGCCTAGCACTACGTCGAGAAAAAAAAGGGAGGGGGAGGGCGGTTCAGAAGACAAAACGGTCATGCGCAACCGCTGACTGGCAACGAAAGCCCCTCGCGCACATTGCTCCCACTCCGCCCCTCTCCTTTCATCGGTCTGCGATTTGCTTCCAACAGCGTCTTTTTCGTTTTTTTTCCGTTTTGGAGGGCGCTCGCGCCTCCTCCGTGGAAGCCAATGAGGAGAGCGGCGCGCTACCGGCATAATTTGCGCGCTCCGGAAGTAATTGTGCTGCTGCTGCTGCTGAGGAGAAGCGGAGTGGATATCGGTAACTGATATTGTTGCGCAGAGCCTGCTGGAAGCCCGGCGGCTGATCTCTTTTTGGTGTCTGTAGACGTAATGTCAAGTAAGCCAAAGTTTTTAGCTCGGAATTCCCCTCCTCTGTAATGTCGGAACCAATTCTGACTGATCCCAGGTGCTTCTGAAGGTCTGCATCCTGCGCTTTTCCCGCTTGATTTGCCCGAAGAGGAGCCTTAGAGGCCTGAGGTTGGAACACTTCCGGTTTGCCGTTTATCAGCTGTTAGTAAGGCGTTTTTTCTTATATTTTCGTGCCCGGGACCGATAATTCAACCAGACTCCTTGTCTTCCACTTAGCTATTCCTTAATATGGGAGGAGAGAAGGCAGATTAATGGATTGGGCACGATCTTTAATATCTTCGGACCAAAGATTAAAAGCGATCATCCACGTTCGCACTAAGGTCACGATCTCAAATCTGTTTGTCTTACATTTGTGTAAGGGGAGGAGAACAGGAAGTTTGGAAAAAAGTGGGGTGGACTTAATATATATGGGAATGGCCTCTTCAGTGAGAGAGAATATACATATTTAGAATAGAACAGAGCTGGAAGGGACCTTGGAGGTCTTCTAGCCCAGCCCCCTGGCTCAATCAGGAGAACCTTTCAGACAAGTGACTCTCTAGCTTATTCTTAGAAAACCTCCAGTGATGGAGCGCTCATGATTTCTGAAAGCAAGCTGTTCCATTGGTTAACTGTCCTCACTGTTAGGAAGTTTCTCCTTAATTCCAGGTTGCTTTGGAGAATAATTTCAACCCCTCTTCTTAGCCTCTCAAATACTGGAATACCCAGGAGTAGGCTTCATTAGACGATGTGTATGAAGTGAACGTTCCCAACTTTGTTATCAAGGTTGTCAAAGTTGTGTCAGCTTTATCTTTCAGGTAATGTGATGTTGTTTGGTACTGTAGAAGTGGATTTCTGGATAAGGCAAGGAGGCGGAGTAGATGATCTTGAATGTATCATAAAATTGGTGTATTTCTTAAAATATGTGTTATGGTTGGCAGTAGAAACAAAACTACAGTAGGATCCAATTTACACATAATTGTAGTGAACAATAATATTAATAGGATATTAAAACAGTAAGGAAAACTCTTGCATATTTTTAGGCACATGTTTCAAATGTGTATGGTGAGGAACCCAAATTATTTTTGTCTATTTTAAATTCTCTAAATATTTATAAACAGGTGGTAGATAACTCCATAATTTGTGCTAGTAAATAATATTCTTACCTACAGTATTTGGTCTATTGGACAGAAACAGTTTAGCTTTATTGTAATATATAAATGCTTATCTGTCTTCCATGTGTTTAAATGCTTATTTTATTTTTATCTTTGCATATTTTATCTCTTTATTTTAGCTATTTGTCCTGCTGCAATGGGTGAACCTCAGCAAGTGAGTGCCCTCCCTCCACCTCCAATGCAATATATTAAAGAATATACCGATGAAAACATTCGTAAAGGTTTAGCTCCTAAGCCTCCACCACCTATTAAAGATAGCTATATGATGTTTGGAAATCAGTTCCAATGTGATGATCTAATTATTCGACCATTAGAAAGTCAGGGTATTGAACGATTGCATCCCATGCAGTTTGACCATAAAAAGGAGCTAAGGAAACTTAATATGTCAATCCTGATCAACTTCTTAGATCTCTTGGATATATTAATAAGAAGCCCAGGCAGCATAAAAAGAGAAGAGAAACTGGAAGATTTAAAACTACTATTTGTTCATGTGCATCATCTTATAAATGAATATCGACCTCACCAAGCCAGAGAGACATTGAGAGTCATGATGGAAGTACAGAAACGTCAGCGTCTAGAAACTGCAGAAAGATTTCAGAAACATTTAGAACGAGTTGTGGAAATGATTCAGAATTGCTTGGCTTCTCTGCCAGAAGATTTACCTCATTCAGATGGAGGGATGAGAATAAAAACTGAACCAATGGACACTGAAGACACCATAAACTGTATTGGATCGAATGAACAGCAAAGAACAACCTCTAGCGTAAAAAAAGATCAGGTTTTGGATAAAGATGCTAATATGTGTAGCATTATTGATGAAATGACATGAAAACAGCTTTGGGATTTGTGATTTTCAGGGAATGCAACTGATGCTTAGGGAATTAGAATATGAAGTTTCTTTTCCTTTTGCTATTTAAGATTTAAAAGAAGATTTAAACAGTCATGGAACACAATCTGTACGAGTCAGTAAATACTAAAAAAATTACTTGTTTAGTTTTTGCATGTGTATCTATGCTTGACTTTAAAGAACATCAATGTTACCGATAGCTTTACCTGTATGTTAACTATGCAATTCATCAATTCATCAGTATCTAAATTCTGCTGATGGTCATTTATTGAAGTATGGGAGCTACTTTAAGGAATTTAAATACATGTGATTCTTTGTTTGGGTTAAATTAAAAGACATATGTTGTACCACAGCAACACTGTTATGTATACAGAGTGGAAGTGAAACATTAAATATTTTTTCTTGTTATGAATGTTTGTGAATTAAAGCAACTGCTTCTACAGATAGGGAAGCTTGGCGACTAACATTTATTAAAAAGAAAGAAATTCTAAACAATTCTCTGAGATAACTTTATCTTTAAAATATTTAACACAAGATTTGAGCCAAATTAGCCTTGTATTTTGCAGGATAAGCCTTATTACTTCCCTCCAATTAAAATGTAACTCAATTTTATTGGATTGTAAAACAGTTGTTCCTCAGAGCTTGACTGCTTCTTAATGCTGACTTAAGTATAATTGAACTACTGTGTTGAAATCTGTCTTTGTGTGTTTACTAAAGAACTGGAAGTATGTAAACATAGCATGGCCATAGTATGTATGTATTCAACATCATTTAAACCACATACTTAAAACACTTAAAACATTATTTCCTAATTTCTACACAATCAGGAAAACTTTTTATACAAGATAATTACAATTGTGGGCCAAGAAAAAATAATACTTGCAAGAACAAATACTAACATACATATCAAAGAACAAATTAAATTGTATGTTACAAGGTAATAATTTTTTTTTGTTCTTTAAAGATTGAATAATTCAATTTCCCTGTCATGCTCTTGTTTTCATGAGAATAAACATTTTCAGCTAGGAAACAGCCACAGTTATCTTCAGATCTTAAGGTATTTGAATAGGACCAGGGATACTCAAATTCATGAAACATCACTGAAGGACTGGAGTAATCACTATTTCAATGGTAAAATTATTTCACTGAGGGAAAATTAGAGTAGGGTCTGCTGTGTATACCACTTTGACATCCTAAAGGAAAGGTGGGCTACACATCTAATAAATAGTATAGAAACAGGAATTGGAATACTAAACTAACAATTAAGGATGGAAGGTAGTCCTGTGCTAGGGTGTTTTTTCTGAATGATACTGTGATATCTACACAGAAGCTTAAAACAGATATTCTGTTTTGGTTAACTGATAGATTGAAGTTGAGTATAGAAAGTAATTTTTCATAAGAAAAAATTGTCACCAGAAAAATGAAGGGTTGCTACTGAGCTGGTGCAGTCTTAAAAAAGAGATTGGGAAAACCTACTTCTAGAAAAAGAAATGGGAATGTGATGATTGGGGAACCATGATGGATTCTAGACCGCTCCTGTTGAAATTTGTTGGTTTTATGGGAAAATGATAGTTGGAAAATAAGACTAGGCAGTTTTGTATTGTTCCAGATCCTGGATGGTGGCTGCAAAACATTTGAAATCGTGGATGGCACAATTTGAAGAAATGCAGAAGAGGGGCTGCCAAAAGGAACAAATCTATTATCCAGTTCTATAAACCTATAAATCTATAAACCAAGTTCTACGAGCCAAAGACTAGACTGATGCCAGTCTGAGAAAGTTAACCTATTTCTTATTTCAGTGGAAAAGATTAGGACAGAGAAGTGGCAATACATACTGAGTTGATGTACTTGCTACCTATATAGCAAGATAGACTTGGCCAAAAGAAGTACAGTATCTATTATAATACCTATTATTTTTGTGCTGATTTTTAGTGATATTTTTTCCTATAATTTCCTTTAGATAAAATTATCCTTTAAATAATTTTTATTGTGCTAATTTGAGTTATCTCTAAATTAGAAAATACAGTTTGACTAAAAAAAGGAACAGTCATTAAAATTCACCTCAGGAATGCAATTATGTAACAAAATATTTGTCTATAAATTGTGTTTAGATATTGTATCCTAGTATTGCTAATGATAATTGATAGTGATGGTATTTTAGCTACTATCTTTGCAATGTTAAGGATTCATCTATACTTCATAATATGCATGACAAAAATTACACCCAAATTTATAAACAAAGGAGTCCAAGAAACCTGAATGGTTTTGCCTTGATGTTCCATTTTCATTTGGCATTTCAGATTTAGTAAACATTAATATGATTGTACAGTGAGCACCTAACCAAGATAGCTTTTTCTAATGTGTTTATTTTTGCTTTTAATAGTACCACACTGCTGAGAAGTGTGAGAGCCCACGTAAAGAGAAACAGAAACATAGCTCTGGATTTTTTAAAAAAAATTATAAACAGCTGTGGAATAAAACAGTTCTTTTTCTTGAAAACTGATGAAAATAATTTATGATGGGTGTTGAATAGATTTTATTTTTCTCTCCTAATTACTGTATGTGCAGCTTGTTTCTAGAAACACATGCAGTATGCTTAATATATAAATATACTTGGAGATTTAATGCCTCAGCAGGAGGCAGCACCAAGTTGTCTTTGGCTGAGTTCAAAGCCTAAGTAAGTTGAATGAACTCTCCGCAGTTGCATATAGATATTAAAAAGCACCAGATGTGGTGGTACCCATAAAAAAGGAACAACCTGGCCAATCTCCTTTCCCCTCTAACTTCACTTCCTAATTAAGAAAAAGTGGAACCACTGCAAAACAAATGTCCCCAACCATTGCAGACAGTTTAAAAGGATACCACAATTAATGGTATTGAACATCACTGAGGGGGTCTAAAAGAACTTAAAGAGTTGCATTCCCTCATAGGATGAATTTCCATCCTATGGCCAGGGTTCCACCCCCAGAGCATGGATACTGAAATCTGGTTCCATTAGTAGAGGAAATTCCACCACCAGTGGCACTAAGACATCCAAGCATATCAGAATGGCTACTGCTAGGCGTTTTACATATTAGCTGCATGAATCCCAAATGCATGCAGAGATGCATTTGCATTGAGACCCTCAGGAACAATAAGATGGAAAGCATCCTCCAACATCAAGAGGACTCATTCAGAGGAACTGCCAATAAAGAGTAATACTTTGAAAGTAAATGGCTTGAGTCTCAGAGTGAATATACAGAATAGGTGAGAGCCCAAAATTGTGCCTTCAACATGATATTGAGAACTGCAAAGTAGTTTACTTTGCTGCTATTATTGTTTCCTCTAGTGACTATCCAGAAGAAAGTTTTCTAGGTGATTAGAGGGCTGTTACAATCTGGCACAGTGATGGAAATGGGGGACAATGATGTAAGACTTGAAAGCAAAATCACAGGAGTTTTCTTAAAGCATGTGGTGCATACTGTATTGTAAAAGTTAAGGAATGGCATTCAGAAAACCATCAGCCTGGATATGTGAGACTGGTTACAGTTGCTACAGTCTAATGATGGGCACAAGGTTTTGGAAAATGTCTAGCTGACCACATGGATTCTTGACCCATCATGGCATGTGGGATCTAGATAAAGCAGAGGTCCCCAACCTTTTGGGCACTAGGGACCGGTTCTGTGGAGAGAGATTTTTCCATGGACTGGAGAGTGTGTGGTTTTGTGTGCTGCTTGCATCTCATGATGGGGCTTTGCTTGTTTATGCAGCACGGTTGCTGGCATGCCGCACATCGGTACTGGTCCACGGTTGAAGACCCCTGAGCTAAAGGAAATTAATTAGGCAATTAGTACATCTCTGACCCATGGGGATAGTGCCTTTAATCTGGACAACTGTTGTCTACTCCTTAAAAAGAAAAATGAAACTGCTGGCTTCAGTGCACCTAATAAATACTTAACTAATTCTTTTTTAAAAAAATATATTGTATTAGTTTTTTACATTAACAGTCTTTAGCGCTTCGTGAACAGTGTATTGTCTTGGTTCATATATTTAAAAACAATAATTAATTTCTAAAGTTAATCAATATGTTGGTTAATATATTTCCTTGATCCTCTCTGCTTCCAGTAATACTCTTTTTGTCTATAATTCTTAATACTTTCAATACATACTAAGTTGTGTATAAACATTTTTTTAGTATTTGTACATATAATAGTAACATCAACATATAACATCTTTTCTAATCAGCTTATATTTCAATTGTATTTATAGAAATCATCTTATTAGGTCGTTATATGTCCTGTTTTCAAGATTCTTATTGAAGCTTAATTTCCCCTCAGTATTCAAACCACTCTTATCAGTCATAATTATCTCAAGTTCATTACCTTTGAATATCCAAACTTTTCATTCAAATACACTGTCTCAATATTTTTACATTTCATATATTATAAAAGTATAACCGTATTCAAACAAGTGTTTAGTCATATAATATTCCATCTGATAAGTTGAATCACATCTCTTAACTCCAACTCTAATCTTCTTTTGCCAGTTCACTTTCCAAATCAGTAAGTTTAGCTTGCCAGGTTGTATTTTTGTAAATGATGTTGGGGATAGAAAAGACAAATTAGAGTATTGGTTTTTTTTTGTCTTCCACGCTTTAGTAATTCTCCTGGCAGCTCTTTAATCCCTTTTATTAAATCTTTTTTTTTGTCCTCAAGTTTATTTTGAAGTCCTGGAAGGTAAAACATCTTGTTTCCTTTGTTGTGGTAAAATTTTGTGGATTTTCTTTTGTTTGTGTTAGGTTATGGTTGTCTTCATTTGTAGTTTTCATATTTAAGTCACTTTCCTCTAGTTTGTGTTCTATTGTCTGATTTGTTTCTTCATTCTTTATCATCATTTTTGAGCGTTATTTAATTGTGAGTTTAAGTTAAAGATATGTTCATTTATGTTATCGAAGTTGTTTTTAATTTCATCATGATTTAAGACAATTGTCATTTGAATCTGTCACAGCTTTGTATATATTTTCTCCTGGAATGTATTTGCTTTATCTCGAGTCATTCCATCACTTTTAGATAAATATACAAGATCCATTTTATCTCTGCCTTCTAAATAGTCTTTCACCGGTACCATAGTCTCTTTAATTAGATTTGTCAAACCAGCCCATCTTGAAATCCAAACAACCAAATCTTATGTAGTTGTTATCTTTATATTTGGTTTTTATAATCCAATACATTTCCAGTTATCAAGGCACCACTGAAAACAGTATTTTGTAACAGTTCTTTTCAGGGGTCTTATAATTGTCAACCAACCAAGATTTCAGTCCGAAGTTTTTAACTACCTATAAGCTTTCCAGTAGCTTCCCCTTTAGAAGATTAGCCAAAGGCCAAGGTTTTTCTTTTTCTGCAAACAGTTCTTAAATTTAAAAATGCAGTTCAGTGTATTTATAATCCCAGAAGGTCAGCAGTTTCTAAACATATATAGTTTCACTCAGTAGTAGATATCTCAATCCTTTGTTCCCAGCTGTTTTTTTTTGCTATTGCCAAATTCTGAGTCAATGCAGCTATAGTTTTCTCTAATCCTCCACTAGATGTCGCTGTTCATTTTCCAACTTTTAAGGCAAAGAGTTATTATTCTTTTTCTTTTTTATAATTTTATCAATACTTTTTCAGGTATGAAGTTTTAACAGTTTTCTTAGTTTTCAAATTTATCCAGACTGTAGTATTTTATATTTTTGTTCCCTATAAGAGTTTAATTCACCGCTTCCATCTATGGGAGGATGGAGGTGTAGTCCCCTCCCTTCTCACTTTGGGAGGATTTTTGCTTCTTGGGGATTTTTTCTAGGAAATCAAACACAAAATAGGAGAGAGAAGATTGAATTTCTCACCCAGTTTCCAGCATGCTTTTCACCGTTATTCTGGTTAGTGCCTTGGGACTTCGGCTGCAAGTAACTTGGGCTGGTCACCGAGGTGTGGCCAGCCTTTCTACTGTCAGGTTAGAAGGCTTCCCCCAGATCGAGCAGAATGACCACCTTTGTTCCGCAATCATTGGGACACCCCTCTTTCTTCATTGCCTCTCCAGGGCGAATTTTGACTCATTTAGGGTCCCCTGGCAGGGCAAAATTAGCCATGGGGTGTGGAGTTCCGCGATCCCATGGCTGTATGCTATGACGCAAAACCGGAAGTCCATAAATACTTAACTAATTCTTATTGAAGTTGATTCAAAATGCTCCTTTAATCATTTTGTATATCCAAATTCATCCTGGTTTCTGCCATAATAACATCAACCTGTTTTCAAAGTTGCTTCTGCTGCACTTTTATTTTTCTATTGAGAAATATTAATTTATTCTTGTAATCAGATTGCATTACACTTTGGAAGATTTGTGAAAATTTGGCCTTACTTCTAATCAGCTCAATTTTTCAGATTAATTTCACTTCTGTGACATCTAAACAGTAATTACAAACTGCAATTATGCTCTGTCTTGTAAAGGTTTCATTCACGTACCTATTAAAAGTTTCTACCTAAAATGCATTGGCTCAAAGATTGGCTCACTCATCAGAAATTGTATCATGGGAATAGAGAGTACCGTACATAAAATATACAATCAGAAGGGAATGAGTTTTTTAATTGGAATTCTCTTAGTGTAACTTTCCCATTCTCTAACCTTTTACAAGGTTCTGCAAACTATAAGCTTAAATTTTGCATAGGTTTGCTGAGAAAGTTAAGTGTACACTTGAGCAAAATTATAAAATTAGAAATAATCTTCAGGTAGCTTGAAAAAAAATCACCTGGCCAACGTATTGAATCCCTCAGACAAAAACTACTTAATGAATTTTGGATTGATTACATTTTAGACTAATTGTGGAACTATATGAGTTTGGTAAAGCTTACTATTTATTTAATAAAGATGCCTAGATGGTTTCAAAAAGTATTTCTGATGGTTTTGATAATTCTTGTCATATACCAGTAGAATAAGCAAATGTATTCTGCTGTAATATGACACAATATCAGTCTGTGTTTTTTATTCATAAATATACAAATATAAATATAAAAATGTTGTCTGACTGGGTTGTCCCTCCCTTCCTCATATATCCCAGTGAATTAGGGTAAAGCCAGTCTGAGCTTCTTTCTAACACTTTTCCAGATTTAAAGCATGCTTTTGTATTTGTAAACTTTCTCTACAACACCCCCCCCCCCTCAGCCACCTTCCCATCCTTTCCATGGTCCAGATAATAGAAGAAAATTGAACTGGACCAGGTTCAAAAAAGACAAGGCAACTGCTTGGAGCTGAGATAGAGTTTATTTGACAGCAAAACAGGCAGTGTAGCTATGAATTAAAAAAGACAGGGACAGTGATATTTATAAGAAAGCCTGTTCTTTGTTCAGGAAGCACACAAGCACATGTTTGCCTCAGGAGGTACGTAGGGTTCAATAGGGAGAAAATGCAGCTTTCTCACCCTGTGGGCATGATAACCTTTGCTCCTTTATGTTTTAGGTGTTGGTTTGGGGGTGATGGTCTGGTGTCAGGAGGATCACATTGTGTGGATAAATGATTTCCATGTCTTCAGCAAATTTTCTTTGATTAGGGTTGAGTTGCTGCTTCTGCCAATTTCCTAATGAAAAACATCCTTAGTCAGTTTCTGCCTATCTGTCAATAGGAAAGACTTAAGCAGGATTTGGTATTATTGTTCGTTGGTTCATTGACATAGTCAAGAGTGGTCAGGGTTTGCAAATGGAATGGATGGAAAGGGAGTCATGCAGGCTTTTCCTTCTTACACAGGTATTGGGGACCTTCTGCTTCTCATTCAACATGGAATAGAACCATACTACCTTCTTGTTACTCTCAGGCTCGGTTGGATTAAGTTAAAGTTGGTATGCAAGTGATAGAACAAAACAGCTGTTTATTAAAAAAGTGGTGAAGTTGCTCTCTACGATCTAATCTAATCTAATCCTCCAGGATTTCCTCTGACAACTCAGTTTCTAAGCAGATGGTCCTACTTCCCAACAAAATCAACATGCTACCCATGACTATGTGATTGAAGCCTTGTTTCTTTTTGGCTCATTGATCCTTTCCCCCCACTCCTCTGGATGACACTGCTTACCTACCATTACCTACCTACCAGAAACATATTGCTAGAGGCAGTGCTGGGGAGACTATGGATAGGGATTTCCCTTGTCCAGCAATTGGGAAATCTGCTTGCCCTGGAAGGACCTGTACTCCCTTTCAAGAAGCAGATGGATACTCAGATTGCTGTTTTTAGAACTCTTATTATCAGTGGAAATTTTTATGGAAAAAAAGTAAGCTCTGGTAGGAATGCCCCCTTGGTAGCACCACATTTGCCAAGAATTTGCAATGCAGCATCTAAAGATAAGATGTTTTTAATACAGGAGCCCCAAGTATGAAATTATCTTTTTGTTCAATTTGGGGTCATGTCCTTTGTAAGCCTTTCAAAGCTAAGGCACATCCAGCAGAAATCCAATTCTTTGAAATGGTTCTCTTCTCTTCTCTTCTCTTCTCTTCTCTTCTCTTCTCTTCTCTTCTCTTCTCTTCTCGACCCGTCCCTTCCCTTCTCCTCTCCTCTCCTCTCCTCTCCTCTCCTCTCCTCTCCTCTTTTCTTCCATTCCATTCCATTAAATTTGGACATGTGCATAGTCATGCCCACATAACTGTTTCAGGCAAGGCTTCTCTCTAGAAAGTGCTAAATTTTTGACAGGAAGAGGAAGTTCTGACCAAAGCTACATAAAGGGCACTGTGATTAATGACACACAGCAGTCAGAAGTCAGAGAAGTTCAGAAACTTGTTTGGGAAACAAGCCTTCTATTAAATAGGTAGAAGGGAATCTTTTCTGTGGGTGGTCCTTTGCCATGTGTTCTTGCTTGCTTCTGAAACAGATCCTGCTCGTGGTATTAACAGGTAACTACATTTTCCTAAAGCTACACATGGATAACATCTTTGTAACAGTATTGCTTCAGTCTCTTAGAGGATTTGGTAGTATGATTTTGGTCAGAATTTTGGCAAGTTATTGCATGTATTTTAAAGCTGCCATTCCAATACTAGGGTGCAAGTTGGGGTGGTTCACGACTGAACAAATATGATAGAATTGGGATGGATGAATGACTGAAAGTTATAATATATTGACATCATCTTCATATATTATCTTTGACATTGTAGGAAATAAAGGTAGTATTCATGTTTACATTAATCTACCACCACCACCAGTCTTATTTAGAGTGTTCATTAAAGTTGATACTATTAATTTTCAGTATTACATCTGAATCTTTTTTCTAGTATGAGTGCAAAAAAAAGCAAAAGTCAAAATAAAATATATACACTTTTATAAGTAACATTGGTAAATTTGACGTTTCTTGATTACCCTGTGTAGGACAACTGATTATAGGCAGTGGGTGATCTGTAATCTTCATTAATGTCACTTGGAAAGGATTAGTTGTAATTATGTTGAGACTATATATCTAAGATTAATTCCAATTTTCATGGTTATCTGGCTTAAAACACATAGCAGTGACAACTATATGCTAAGACCCTTTGAGGTTTCTCAATAGAGAATTATTTCCATTGTACAAATATGTGACTTAATTATATTTTCCCAGTTTTATAAAATAAGAATGAAATAGGAAAAGGTGGCCTTCTGTCCAGTGTATATAGTGACAAAAATGGTGTGAAATATGAGAAACAAACTGTCAAAAACAAAAATAAGCTTTTAAAGTTTTTTAAAAGCAGAATTTTATCTATCTATCTATCTGTCTGTTTGTTTGTTTGTTTGTTTGTTTGTTTGTTTGATTGATTGATTGCTTGCTTACTTACTTACTTACTTACTTACTTACTTACTTACTTACTTACTTACTTACTTACTTACTTACTTACTTACTTACTTACTTACTTACTTATTTGCTGCCCATTTCCCCCTGTAAGGTGACTCTTCATCATATCCTAGCTCTGAACCACAAAAGGTCTTCCCCTCATAACAACTGAGTAATTCAGTGTTCTTTCATTTAAGATAACACCTAGTCTGCTAAGAAAACAGTTGCTTTTTTGCTAGGCTGAGAAAACAATGTGTGAAGATGCTGTTATAACATGATGTCCTGTTTAGTAACCAACTATTACCTAAATGGAACTTTGTGAGGACATGCTATTGAAATTTTTTGTTTTATGAACATTCTAAAAAAGGTTACTTAGCTATAAAAAATTGATGTGGATGGAAGAAACAGAGTTCCTGGCAGGTAACCACAGAGTGCGTGGGTATGTGCTTTAATCAGTGTTTCCATCCCGCTTTTATTTTCTTTGTATTACTCAGCAAACTGAGGCAGTGATCTCATAGTATCTACTTGGGAGGACATTTCAGATGATAATTTCATTCTTCTAAGGAAAGCTGGTTAGAAGAAAATTCTTTTAGAAGCTATGGCTTCTATTCTGTTTTTTTTTAAAAAAAAAATAATTGTAACATTTCTTCTACAGGTTCCTTCACATCATATGCTGAGACTGTCATACAAGGGAAAGTGGGTGAAAACATCACTCTACCCTGTCATTATTCAGTTAAGGATCATGGACTGACAGATACTTGTTGGGGACGAAGTTGCCCCTTAGTGGGTAGTTGTCCCAATAAAATGATCAGCATTAATGAAAATCTGGAGATAGATGGGCAACTCGAAAAATTTCATCTATTGGGAAATGTCAGTCAAGGAGATGTATCTCTGACCATTGTTAACATAACAAAAGATGATATGGGGACATACTGTTGTCGAATGGAATATCAAGGATTGTTCAATGATGACAAAATTTTTTTCAAATTACTGATCGAGGAAGGTGAGCAGAAGATTTAAATTTGTCATGTGCTCCTTCGGTATACTACAGAGCATTATTGCTTTAAAAAAATATGCTTGTAAGTTTGAAAAGAAGTATTATTTTTATGAACCTAATCTAATGACTGTTTCTCACTGCAGTATCATTACCATCTAAAATTATATATAAAATATATTTACATGTGTTATGTATTATGAATGTGCTATTTATGAATTATGATATAGTCATTAACATTGTTGGTTTTGGGTTTCATTTCATATGGAACTCTTCTACTGTGTTCTTTATAAAAGATATAACTCTATTCACACACGCACACACTGTTATGTATGTATGTGTGCACATACATGTATATATACATGTATATATACATGTATATACATGTATATATACATATATATGTATGTGTATATTTATAAATATATGTATGTATGTCATTTGAAATGATTTGTCTCAAGTTATACAATCCAGTTAAAACAAACATGTCCCCCAAAAGGCATATTAAGACACAAATATCAGTCTAACTCTATAAGATTTGCTTAGAGGTGAAAATGGTGGATGTTGAAAAAATAGAATGAACGATCCTTACAAATTTTATGGAATTCTGTCTTTCAAACGTTTTTACTTATTCTGTCTATATATTGAGAGAGACAGTTATATGAATACAGATTTGTTTTATTCTGTATTAATACCCTTATTTTTCAGCATCGCTTCATACAACTCCTATATATTTCAGTACGTCTAATTTTGTTTCTAAACCAAAATGGGTATTCATTACTGAATCTCCAGTCAATGTAAGTATCAACATAAAAGCGTCTCTGTGTTTATGTATTTGTGTGTGTGTATTTGCATATGAATTGATAGCTGTTTATACATACTAAGCCTTCTGGAAACCTAGCAAACTTTATCTACTTCTCCTCAGTGTCATCAATTTCCAGGAATTGGCTATAAATTTGAGTGAGTATCTGAAGAAAAAAAAAAGAGGGGGGAGTTTTGGTGTCCATGAATTATTGTGTGCCCATACTTGCTGTATCATAACTATCACGTTTCAAATGCTAGGCATCAAAAGGCATTATGACACTTCTAAAGAGGTTTATTCTGGGAATATAAATAATGGAAACAGCATTGAGAAAATACAGAGTTAGTTTCCTCAGGAGCTCTGAGAGATAAAGAGAACCCTAGTATGGCTTTGGAGGAAGATGAAGTGCAAATTAGTTCAAAATATAAGAACCCATACTATGGATTAAAATGTGGCAAGTGATGGTGGCCCTGTGTTAGGTGACCCAATTCTGGGTGGGAAAAGATGTGTCACAGGACTATGTGCAGGGTTACTATGAGGAATATTCTTGCTATCTGGCAAATACAATTTCTTGGATCTGCTGGGAATTGGACTCTGAGTGGACATGTCCTGTTGAACTGCCTGAGGCAAGGTTTTATAGGATTATCTTGAATAAATTCAATTCTGTAAAGTGCACTGAATTCTCCACTTTGTAAACCTGGCCATATGTTAATTAGATCCAAGTCTGCTCTGGTTGGTTAAGACTGCCTAGGAGGTAACCAATACTATCTGTTTGTCTGAAGAAAGGTAATCACCAATGCTTTGAAAGACGCCATGGTGGATCTGCTTCTTAAGGGATTATCTTTGGACTTATTGATCCTGGACAATTTCCATCCAGTTTCCAACTTTCCGTTTTAGGGGAAGGTGATAGAGAAAATGCTTAGGGTTCAATCCCAGAAGACCCTGAAGAAAACATATTATCTGGACCCACACCAGTCGGCTTTTAGGCCAGGATTTGGAACATAGCCAATACTGTTGTAATTGTCAATGAACTATGGTAGGATTGGGATGGGATTGGTGTTCATCCTGGTGCTCCTTGATCTCTCAGCAGTTTTTGATATAATTGATCATGATAAACTGGGTTAGGTCAGGTAACACCAATATACTGGTGTTTCCAATTACCCAGTGCCTGGAGCCTGTGGAGGTCTAGCTCAGGAAGGGCACACTGAGGCTCAGTCCTAGCAAGACTGAGGGACTTTCTAAAAAATCTTCCCATTTCTGGGAGTATTCTATTTACCATTGCACAGGCTGCAAAAACAATTTTAAAAACTTCCAATTCAATTTTAAAAAATAGAGATTGAAGGCCAATGTTATTATTTTACTCATTTTTCTGTGACATACTTAATAAACAACCACTGATGGAGACAGGGAATCACAGTTGGAATACTGTGTGTGCATGCACATGTGTGTATCCAAATACTATTAGTATCTACATCCCCGAAGTTCTAAGGAGAATTATAAGTGGAACAGCAATTACTTTACTGCTAGATAGGTATTCTACTATTTTCACAGTCTCCCATCCAGTGGTGAGATTCAAACATATGAACAACCGGTTCTCTGTGTGGATGCCACTTCTGGAAGTCCATTCTGGGCCTGGACAACAAAAAATTAGCTACCGGTTCTGCTGAAGTGATGAGAACTGGCTGAATCCCACCACTGCTCCCATCATGTCTCATCTTAAGACTGCTACTAACCGCTGATGGCATTGTTGTTGTTTTTTTTCAGCTCCCCACTTCTTCTTTTAGCTTTTCTTTTTTAGCAATTTTCCAAAGATGAGCTTATCTGAACACTTACACAACATTTTGTTACTTTTTTGTGACTAATTTCCCAAACAACATAAGGGTGAGAGCCAGTTGAGTCTTTTGTGGGCCAAATTTTGAATTTATAACTTTATATTTTTAAAATTTGAACAAATCTTTCTTAAACACACACACACACACACACACACACATGCAGAACACCCCCCACTGAAGTGTCAGTTCTGAGGAAGAGTTTGAAACAAATGAATGAGAAGTAATCTGATAAATGGTTTTCTTAAATTAAAATCTTGAATTGATGGGATAAATGTCCCATTAACTTTCATGAATAATAATGCTAATAATCAATATACTTTAGAGGTTGCTGGCTCTAGTTAACTCTGGATAGCTTTCATTAAATAAATAAATAAATTCTTCAGCTCAGTCTGGTTTTGATGTGATGTTTTTTGTTTATTTGCTTTTTCAGAATATTTCATTGCCTATGTCTACAATGGTAAAGAAGCAAGGGAAGAATCCACGTTATCGGATAGGCCTATACATTGGTATTGGAGCATGTGCAATTATATTCATCATTATAATCCTGCTAATTATAAAGTGTAAGTCCTGTGATTTTTATTAAGAGGGTTTTTTTTTTGTACTGGCCATGTAATACTTTGCCTTGCCATGTCTCTTTGCTATACTTTATTTGGTCTTTCTTATAGGACAGAGCTCCCCAACTTTTCCAGGTTGGCAGCCCAGAGGGAAAGGGAGGAGTAGGGAAATGTGCATGCTTGCATGCACAAGAGGGCTGCACATACAATGAAGGCGCTAGCACTCATGTGCATATGCAAGCAGGCTGCGCGCACCCATGGCGGCACTGGTGGTGGTGCTGGGGCTCGCGTGCATGTGCAAACCATTCCCATGGCCCTGTCGCCCACACGTTGGAGACTCCTGTTGTAGGCCACTTTGGTTTCTGTAAGCCTTCATGATATAATAGCTTCAGTGCGTCTTCTTCACTGTCCTTTAGATATTATTCAATGCCCATTTTTCCTTTTTCAACTGACTGGTGTATTTTCATCATTCCATACCTATCTATTTTCCTTGATAAGTAGAATCTGTCAATATCACTGCGTAGATGAAGGGCATGATCCACTCTCATTATTTTTCTAATCTTTCTATCCAGGGCTTTTAATTCTGGTTGAGTCCTGTCCATTATTCCAGCTGTACTGTATATCTAATATTGGAATTGCCCAAGTGTTAATTGCCTGATTGGTATTTCCTATACTCAGTTTGAACTTTAAAATCTTCTTCACTCTTCATTATATATTCACTTCTGACCTTCTTGATTTTAGTGTGTTTCATGTTGTCAGCTGGAAGAATGCCCAGGTATTTGTAGTGATCTTCTTCCTCCAGATTCTTTATGTTATTTCCATAGGGGATCTTGATTCCTTCCGTTTTCATTATTTTCCCCTTGTTGATGGTAAGGATAGCACATTTGTCCAGTCCAATTTCGTTGCAATATCTTGGCTATAAATATGGATAGTACATCATTAGGCAATGATTCTGTGTCAGATGCTATTTTTCCATACAGCTTTAGATTGTCCATATAAAGGAGGTGGTATAACCTAGAAGATGTTTTTGATATTTTTATAGCCCTTATTTGTTCAGTATTGCTTACAGAAGAAAACTGTAGTGGTGATAATGAGTCTCCTTGAAAGATTCATCACTTGATATTAATCCATCCCAGTCTATCACCACTGACCAACAACTTGTCTTACATTGTGCAATTGATCTTTATGCAAAGCTTCTGATGTTTCTACTGACTATTCTTATTTCTAGGCATTTGATTATCCAGTCATGTAGCAGAGAGTCAAACGACTTCTTATAATCAATCCAAACTACATTCAAGTTGGACTTTCTTCTCTTGCAGTTTTCTAAAATAATATTGTCAATTAGAAGCTGATCTTTTGTTCCTTTGCTATTTGGGCAGTTTCCTTTGTGCTCAGGTAGAAAGAATTTGTTTTCAATTGGAAGCTGCTGGACTTCATCAGCTACCACTCCAGTTAGCAATTTGAAAGTTGTTGGTGAGCAGATAGTTGGCCTATAGTTGCCTGAAGTTGCCCCTTTTGTTGAATCTTCCTGTATATATGTCTCATTCTTGAAATAATCGAGCAAATTGTTTTCATCTTCTTTCAAGTGAAGATTTTTTGTTGCTCTGGTTACCTTGCAGGGTATCTACACAAGAAGCAGAAGACAATTAATTCTGCAAGGTAATTACTATTAAATCTGTTTCTATTTGAATGGTAGTAAAATAAAAACCTCACTTATTGTACAACTGCTACAAGGAAAAACAGTACATGAATATGATATTAACAGTTCATGCATGCATTAACCTTCAAAGAGGCTGATTCCAATAGATCCTAACCATGGAAAGCTATCACTTCAAATCTACTGGGTGCACAGAAATAGTTCCATGTATTTCAGACTACTAACTCAGCACTCATACACACAGGAAATGCTTCATGTGATCAAATAGACACAAGTACTGTACAAATCTAAAAACAAAACCCAGCAAATTTGAAACTTAAGGGATTTTTAATATTAAATTTAGTTTTGTTGCTGAAAGAAAAAACTTTGTTTAAACAAAACAATCGCAGTGGGCACTTGGTAATTTTCTTGGCATTTCTTAAGAAATAAATAAATAAACATGTCTTTTGTATTTTTTTTTGAGAAGAACATTTCAGGGAGAACCATGCATTCTAAAATTAGTAAGAAAGGAGGAAGTAATAAAGGAGGAAGAAAAGTTGAAATAAAAAAGTTTAGTTCCTGTTTTTGTTTCGTTTTTGGCTTGAGATATTTTGAGTGAGTTATGTAAATTCTATGCACATTCACCCACCCACACATACCAATTCATTGCTAATCAGCCAGATTTTTCAGAAATCATACATGACTCAAAATGAGGATTAATTTTTTTCTGAATTTTCTGAATTTTGCTGTGAAGGCTTTCCTATGCCATTTTCTAATATTTTTCCACAATAAGTGATAGTTGGGAGATTGCTAGGATGCTGTTATAGCATCATTAAGATGCATGGGGAAGTGAATTTATTAATAATTCAAAAGATGAAAATGGATGACACATTATATTGTATGGTGTTTAGGACAGAACACTTAATGCAGAAAGTGGATCAAAATAGCATCTCTTCCTCTTGCAACACTGGCACCAAATTAACCATATTGTTAAGTTGAATCATGGAGGTTTGATAGCGAAGCAGAACATGTGCATTCAATATAAGTACTGTAAGCTGAATGAAGGGAATTTCAGGATGTGAAAGGTGTAATTCTCCTGGATGTATAGTTAAAAATGAAAATTGCAGGAGATGATTATAGTCTGCAATTTAAATGTCTTCAAAGAGGAAGGTAAGGCTATGATCGGCTAATAATCATAATGTAGTAGTGCACTCATGCCCAGCTGGAATTCCTATAGCATCTGGGCAGGTCTATGGCATAATTCATCCTGGCAGTTAAATTCTAATCTGATTTGTACTTTTGATTTTTACAGTCAAGTGGCATTTTCAAATTCAGCAGCTCGAGGGGTTCAGAATGTTCTCAATGCTGATGTCCATGCGCCGGAAAACATTTATCACTGCAGTTGAAGAATCATGTTAGCAGGCTCATGTCTAAGAAGGCACTCTATTTGGAGCAGCATATTTGGAAAAGAGATCTTGCAATAGACATATATAGATTCACACTTTTGTTTATATTCAGTGTCAGATTAATGTATGCGATATGAAATGAGAGAATCTGTTTTACGATCTTGCAGTAGAAATATAGTGCCTTGTTTAGCATCTCTCCCTATTAATGCTATGCGGGAGAACTGCCAGTTTCAGACTATGCTCCAATACTTAGTTCTCCCTTCTCCTGACACTAAGCCCAATAGCCTATGCTGCTTATTTGTCATCCATCTGCTACAGGTAGAGACAAACTGCATTTGCATTTTGCTTATTTGTTTTTTATTATCAGCTGAAATTTGGTGAAAAACAGCAGCCACAGGATAGCTGCTTATTACAAAATTATGAGCTCATGTTTGGCTGTATGGCCCTATGAAGTTGGCACATGCTAACCTAATACATCCTCTTTTGAACATTTGGATGGGATATAGAAATGTAGGTAATACATTTACCAAATCCAATGCTGATTTGACTTAACCTCAGTTGACATTTTTGGTCCTAAGACATCTTTTCATTGTTATGAAATCCAGCCACAATCTTCAAGCATTTGAAGGGGCAATGACATATAGGGGATTTCTACTTGTTGCTTCTTATCTATGGCTGTTCTCCATGTGGATCCTGATTAAGAATCCTGATTTTTATTTTTCATGTTATGTCATTGTGTGAAAACTATCTGCAATTAATTGCCTGCTAAATGAGGAAGACTAATGGGGGAGGGGAGTCCAGTATGTGCTCCACTTGAACATAATTCCTGTTTACTGAATGAGACAATCTTGGCATGAAACACATTCCCTCTGATGATAAAAATTATGTATATTCTTTTTTTAAAAATGTTTTTATTAAACATTTTATTAGATACAAAAGAAAAGAAAAAAGAATTAAAAAAACATTGAACGTGGTGTATCATCTTTGACATATATCTTTGTCTAATCATTCCATACTTTACATATGAGAGTAAATGTTATATATACAGCTATACATTCCTAGTAATCTTCCTCTATTTATATCCCTTCTATCGACTTCCTTTTTATTTCCCTCCACTTGTAAAATTTATTCCAAATTAGGTAATATTCTGTTTCCTCCTGATTTTTTAATTCTTTAGTCATCTTATCCAATTCTGCGCAATACAAAATTTTTCTTATTAACGTGTTTCCACTAGGTACTTCAGTTGCTTTCCAGTTTTGGGCAAACAAGATTCTTGCTGCCGTTACCACATGTATAATTAAATATATATCATCTTTGTTTATGTTTTTTTCTAATGTTCCTAATAAAAACATCTCTGGTTTATATTGAATTTTTTGACCCGTCATTTCTATTATCCATTTCCAAACCCTAAGCCAGTAAACCTGTACTTCTTTACAAGCCCACTAAACGTGAAAGAATGTACCCTTTTCCTTTTTACACTTCCAACACATTGGTAAGTAACCACTGTACATTTTTGCAAGTCTGGCCGGTGGCAGATGCCATCTATAAAGCATATTGAAAAGATTTTCTTTGTAGGATGTCGCCAATGTAATTTTGTTGTTACACTCCCAAGTTTGCTACCATTGGTCCAAATTTATCACGTGTCCCAAATCTATTGCCCAAGTAACCGTTGTTTCTTTGACTTGCTCCTCATATAGTTTATATTCTAACATGTATTTATATATATTTTTACTTTGTTTTCTCTCTGAACCTAGTAATATTTTGTCAAGCCCCATATCTCGTCTATTAATTCCTCACTCTTTCTTATCTTTCATATATTTCGTTTGCATCTGAAGATAGGACCACCATTCCAAAATTATTCCCTGTTGTCTCAACTCTTGTCTTTGCTTTAGATGGCCTTCCTCTGACAGGATATCTTTATATGTAATAACCTTATTTTGCCTGTATAAGTTGGGGTATGTAACTACTTCTAATGGTGAGAGCCAACCTGGAACTCCTGTATAGTGTTGGCATTTAACTATGTTCCAGCTTTTTATGAGTTCTTGCCGAACTTTTTGCCTCAAGAAATATTGATAGTTCCTACTTTTCCTTGTCCATAAGTGAGCATGCCAGCCCTGCTGGAGGTCATGCCCCTCTAAATATAAACATCTTTTGTTTTCCAGAGTAATCCAATCCCTAATCCACGTCAGGGCCACTGCTCGATAGTACAGCTCCCAATCCGGAAAGCCTAATCCCCCCCTCTCTTTAGCATCCTGTGAAAAATTATGTATATTCTTTATGTGGTCATTGAATTATTTTTGCTGAACAATATTTTTTAAAACAATACAGAAATTGGTAGTTAATTATAATTAACAAGGATTTTGTTGCATTGCTGTCTTTGATACAGAATGCTACAAAAATATTTAAGTATATGTTGAAGTTGCAGTATAATATATGCTTTATATATTTCTCTCATTATCACTTCCAGGGACCCCTTTCCCACTATGCTAGACAATAGATTTGTGTGAGATCGTCCAATGTATTGCTCTGATAGGTGCTATATGTTTTCAGTACTAAACATTTGAGTTTTTCATATGAATTAGTTTTGATGATTTCATGTTAAGTTGGTTTTCAAACTGGATATAAAAATCAAGTAGTTTCCTTTAAAATTCTTGACATTGACCATTATAGAACTTGTTAAAGTCACATGTTAGAAAGTGAAAATAAGAACTAAATTTCATTGTAATGTATTATTAAAGAAGTAAGGAACAAAAACAGGAAAGACGACTTTTATCTGAATACTTTTGCTTTTTCAACTGGGGGAAGAGGGAGACAATACAGGAAAAAACATATTGAAGTGATAAACTTGCCACCTTTTTAAAATTGTAATACATTAGAAAAAATATCTCTTATGCCCAATGACTTGATTCAAACAGCCCCAATATTTATCAATCCAAAAGTCACAATATATTGTGAACAACAGAACAACCAATAGCTATTGCATAGGGGTTGCTACCATCCAGATCAGCTCAGTGGCAAAACCATGTCTTTAAGACCCTACAAAATGCCTGAAGTCCAAGAACGTTATTTTGGCAAGATTATTTAATATATTAATGTAGCCAGGATTTTTTTCCAGGTTTACTTGGAAATGATTGGGAATAGCTTTTAATGTAGCTGTTTTAGCAATGCAACAAGAGAAGCTTGCTATATGTTGTACATTCTGTGTATTATTTTAATTCTTTCAAACATTTCTTTAATAAAAAAGTGATATAAAAAACAAATTGCATCAATTATAAAGCCTTCCTTTGATAAATATCTTCCATTGAAGGCTACTTATGCCTTGCCTTCATGAAATTTTGGAAATGGCAACTCTATAATCCATGCCATTAATCATGGGTCAGAAAAATAGCCTTGTGAATTATCTAGAAATAAACTTTCAGACTGTTTGTGGGAGAGTGTTTCTCTTATTCTAAGCACTTTTCATTTCCCATCTAACTTTCTTTTAATAGCAGCACCTTCTCAGATTTTCTCTGATACAAAAGGAAGAACATTGTCATTTTTGCTTCCCCCTTTTCCGTGGAATAGGGAAATTGATGCTTATGTCTTATCTTTGGCATGGGATGTGTGCAGAGAGACTATACAAATACATGTTTTATTGTCTTACTACTGTTCTTCTGATTTGTGTATACAGGATTGAATATTTTATATTATCTTATGTTGCTTTTACCCCTTTCAGCTGAAAATCCACAGAGTGTGGAGCTTACCTCAATATTTCTAGCACTTGGGAGCAAGAAAAGAATTGGAGTTTCCAAATAGCCATAGCCAATAATGCAAGAACAGGTTGTCATATCACATTGTTATGTCATATCATGTCATATATCAATTCAGATGAGTGGATTTAGGAATAAATCTCTTGTTGAACCAAATTACCTTGAAGAGATCTTGCTCGAGAAATGCAAATGAGAAGCAGCATAGTAACCTGAGCACCCTTTCTTTCTGCCTTGCTGTCCATAGCCCCACTTCTAATTATTTGCTCAGATTATGTTTCAATTTACAAAAGAGATCAGAGGATAGGAAACTGTATAGAATTCAAATGCATCCTGCTGGGATCTATTTAGATGGAAATGCACTGAACTAATTCATGGAAAACTGATACCAGCTGTCAACATGTTTAATGAAAGGTTAAAGAGAGTTTTGAAAGGCAACCATAAGAAGGAACTAAAGGAGCCAGGGACCGAAAAACTGGAAATCCTGGAGACAGAAAGGCAGGACACGTCTTGTAATTTTGTCAAGCAACGAAGCACTTAAATCTCAATATTCATAGTTCCTTTCACTGGAAATAAGTCCTTAGTTCTGGTTAATGGTGGGTGAACTGATTCTGTTACAATGGCAACATTAATCAATCTGACATACACTCAGATGGTAGTTCTTTAACATTACACAGCAATTCTGAATTTGCACACCTGCAAAGTGCATCTTAGAGAGATCAACTCCTGCCTGAGGCACAAAACCAGCTGGGTGACCTTGGGCCAGTTACTCTCACTCAGCCCTAGGAAGGAAACAATGGCAAACCACTTGTGAATCTTGCCAAGAAAGCTGCAGGGACTTGTCCAGATGATTGCCAAAAGTCAACCTTGACTCAAAGGTCTTCATTAGATCATTACAATTGATGTGCAGTTTAATCAGTCAGACAGTCAGTCATTTTATTTCAGTCACTCATCTGCAAAACAAAAAAGTTATTTTGGGGGTTAAAATTAATACAGGAAAGCATGATAGAAGGAGTATTATGTATGTTCGCCACCTTCATTTACTTATAAAGTATTAAATACAGGATAATTCAATTCAATCAAAAGTACTTTGCTTTTCTCTGCAAAATAATTTCATATGGACCTATATCTGCTGCTTAGTGAAAAATGTCTAGGCTAAACTGACAAACAAGTTGACTCAAAAAAGCCTGAAGAGAAAAGATAATTATCTTAGCATCTTGATTAACATAGGCAAGCTGGAGGAAAGTCATTAAATATAAAGATATAACTGTTTTGGAAGAAGAATTGGATAATGAGGAGACACAAAAGAAAGCTGCAGCAAAACCAGAAAGCAGGTGAGACAGGAAGACAAGTCCTTTAAGGGGAAGATATTAAAAGATTATTTCACAATTAATGGAAGGTTGCAATGACTTTGTTAATAAGCCTCACTGTAGCAGATATTTTATTCCAACCTTTTCTTCTTGTTTCATTAGTTCCCCTAAGACCTTTTAAAAGGATTCTTGAAGCAAGCAAAAGCAAAAGCATTTGGAGGATTTAATAGGGCTGGGATTATAATTTGTTTCAGAATGAAAATAGCAAATTAAAAAGCTACCTGCTGAATTGGGTTTACAATTTGAAAAAAAATCTAAAAGAGAAGATACACAACAGTGAAAACGGACACATGTTGATCAAGTGCAACTAATCAGAATAGTCTGTTCAATTTAGCAGATTTTTTTTAAAAAGTGACATAGCAGTGACAGAAGATGGCATAAAGGATTTTTCTAAATTAAAGAACTGAATAGACTGAGAAGTAAGTAGGGTTTTAATTTGCCCTTCTAAAAGGACATCAGCAACTACCGTATTTTTCGCTCTATAAGACACACTTTCCCCCCCCCCAAAAGATGGGGGGAAATGTCTGTGCATCTTATGGAGCAAATGCCGCCTCCCACTGCGCTGCTCCGCATCCCGCGCCTCCGTGTTTCAAGCCTCTGTGGCACAGAACTGCTGGCGTTATGCTTGGGTGGAAGACGTTTTCTTTTACAGATGGGGCGGGTGGGCCTGACATTCGCGCGCAGGCAGGACCCCGCCCGCCGAGCCACCGCTTCCCCATCGCCCTCCACCCCAGCCGTCTCCGTCTCCAGACCTCCCAGCTGACGGGCGCAGGTCCGGGGCTCGCCAGCTGACGGGCGCAGGAGGTAGGCGCCGCCGCGGCCTCCCAACCACGCCGCCGCGGCCTCCCAGCTGCTTGCTTCTTCGGCTGGAGCGACTGCAAGGGCTTGCATGGTCCCCAAGTGCGCTGACGCGCTCCCCGCCGCCGGCAACCATGCAAGCCCTTGCATGGTCGGGTGGGCCTGACATTCGCACACAGGATTCGCGCGTGCCTACCTCTTGCGCCCGCCGAGCCACCGCTTCCCCATCGCCCTCCACGCCAGCCGTCTCCATCTCCAGACCTCCCAGCTGACGGGCGCAGGTCCGGGGCTCGCCAGCTGANTGCAGGGACTTGTCCAGATGATTGCCAAAAGTCAACCTTGACTCAAAGGTCTTCATTAGATCATTACAATTGATGTGCAGTTT